CCCCCCGAGCCACCGGCAGCGGCTGGGCACCGTGGTACCCTGCCCCACGGCACCCTGCCCCACAGCACCCACGGCAAGGGGCTCCCTCCGACACCTTGAACGATCTCCCCCACCCCGTCGCACTTGGCTAGAGCCCTCCTGTTCGAGACAAACGTCGCCAGTCACAGCACCTGTACCCTAACACACCTCGCTTTCCTGTTAAGTGACGGTAAAACTGTCTTTAGAGGACAAGGTTAACGATGGCTTTACTTCTGAGCTGAGTAATGGATGGGGTGGTGATGACAGGGGTGGTGGTGGTTGGGGGGGGTGGCTAGCTTTTCTCCTCCCCTTCTTAAAATTAAAAAAAAAAAAAAAAAGGGAAAAAAAAAAAAGAAAAAAGCTACAATCTTATAGACTAACCTCAGGAATATCAAAAAAGGAGCCCAATATTTTTTTTTTTTAAGTAGGTCGCCACAGACCTAGTCGTTTACAGTATAACGAATGCGATTATTTCCTTCATAAATTTTAAATACAAGCAGAATAAAAATCACATTTTTTTCAGGCAACAGTAGCAGTTCAGTAGGTAAGTGGCTTGATCACATTTTTTTTTGTTTCGTATTAGTAATGCATGCAAGCAGCTTTAGTATTACAGATCCCTTATAGGTCATGAAACGTTTGCTCTCTATAAAGTCCCTCCGAAAGTACCGTCTTGTCTTCTCACGGGAGTTTCAGGCCGGCTGGAGGAGCCCGAACCTTGTTCAAAAGGTTGGGGAGTGCTTTGGGTATCCGATGCCATAGCATCTGTGGCAGCTGCCTCCTGTATCACAGAGCCAGCCCCTTCGGCATCCTCGCTCTGTTCGAAGGACTGGTTGGATCCATTGCTCAGCTCTACGTTCACCGTGTTAGTTCTCAAGGCTACTATAGTTCCCGCCTCGCTCCTCCGTTCTGCATAGATTCGCTGCTCAAAGACCTGAGCAGTGTTGGGCTGGAATTCGGGATCCAGGGGGACACTGTTTGTGGTGGAGCCCATGACCGTGCGGTACATCTCCATCCCTTCCGGCAGCATGGATTTAATCTTCGGCAGCCAGCGCTTGCGGACGCGGCGGGCGTTGGTGCACATATCGGCTGCTATAACATTCATCTCGCTTTCCTTAAAGCTCGGGGCAAAATTCTGACAATACACTGCAAAGACAGGGATACACACAGCTGAGGATTCAGAGACAGCAACACAACGGTGATCACAGCCTCTGCCCCGTCCTAGGGACCTTAGCGTGGAGGTTCATCATGGACCAGAGCTCTCGCAAGGAGAGATCTACAGACTCCTCAGCTCCCGATGGCCACAACCAAGAAGAGAGAAAACCAGAAGGCATAAAAACCCCTGGGTGGCACACAGAGTCATAGAATCCTGGAACGGTTTGGGTTGGAAAGGACCTTAAAACCCATCCAGTGCCACCCCCTGCCATGGGCACACCTCCCACCAGCCCAGGTTGCCCAAAGCCTCATCCAGCCTGGCCTTGAACCCCTCCAGGGATGGGGCATCCACAGCTGCTCTGGGCAACCTGGGCCAGGAAAGGAGGAGGGGCTGGAGAAGGACCCTGTGCTCCCCAGGGACCCAGCAAGCCCCAGGGGTTCCAGGTTCTTGCCCACAGGCTCCAGCTGGAGCACGGTACCATGGGCACAACCAGAGATGGACACAGAAGAGGTCAACACGAGCTCCCATCAACGGCTCTGAAACCCACACAGCTGGAAGATGTCAGAGCTGCTCTCGACCGAGCAGAGGACACTGCCCAAAGACCATCCTCTGCCTGTCCTACACCACCGCAGGGCCACCCAGCGCTGCGTGGGCCACCAGCATGGCCAGCATCCCACCACTAGCCACCAGCCATCACAGACCCCCCAGCAGCCCAGCACCACCTTGGCTGCAGCCCCGCTCCTCCACGGGGACCAGGCACCTGATGTTAACGGAGCAGCACCCAAGGCTCTGCCGCGGTGAGCAGTGATCAGCTAAAGCTTGGGCACAGGGTAAAATCCAAGCAAGAAGAAATCATCTCATGCCGTGACACGTGACAGTGTGTCACAGGCGCTGTCACCGGCCAGCGATGCCTCTCCAGCCC